ATAAAATATAGCACATGAATGGCTTTATCCTAGCAAGTGGCTTCATGCTAGATTAAGTTACATGTCCTTCATTTGAGGCCACATACATAGAAAGGTTGTGATCTCAGGTACATGATACTGGTCAGATGCAGGTATGTTCTTAGAAAACAGAGGGCTGTTTAAAGCAATGGCTACCAACTCTCCAGCTTGTGTTTTGAAGGCCCCTGCAGGGGAGGCATAACGAAATCTTACGCATGGTGTCCTGCTTTATCACATTTCTGACTGAATCAAGGGCTGTACAAAAAATATTTTAGTATGCCGTAGCAACAAAAGCAGGCTGTGGTAAGAGAGCTGGTTTGGCTTAAAAAAACTAAATTATGAGTAGGAACTCATAAGAAAAGTGTAGGGCTGAGCAGTGTGAAAACCAGAAAGCTGCCTCCTTATGCCTAATTAGTGGCAAACGGGTCTATGTTATATTTCCTTTCAGTTCATGGCCAGATTTTCTCCTTTCAGTGTTTATTTTCTGTTCTTTTTCTCCTGGATATCTACTTAATGTTTCTTTTCATAGCACATGTTTATACTGTGCATATATGCAAATGCTCATTTGGAATATGCAGACTTATTAAGTATTTTGTATGGGACAGACTAATGCTTGTCCAGAGAAAGTACAGGTAAAAGATTATTTCATTCCAAGAAGGAGAATGTATTTTCAAGCCAATGTCTTATAAAAAAAAAATTCTCTTATTTTATTTCTTTCTGTCAAAGGTTCTCATAAACACGAGTGCCCTCGAGTATGTACTCGATTAAACAAAACACATGCTCTGTTTAAAATGGTAGCTCTGTGTTTCAGAGTTTGAAACTGGAAGTGGTAGACCCCCTGCTTGGTATTAAAAAGTTGTATTTAGGAAAGAAAAGTATGGAAAAGTGCATATGTGAAAGGAGCTCCATGGTTTATGCTCTATATAGTTGTTCTTTGTAACAGACTTACTGTAACATCTGGAAAATCTGATTTCTTATGAGAAGGAAAACACCTGCAAGTCTAATCTTGAGTGACAAAGAATTCCAGGTAATAGCTGTTAGAATTATTGATTTCAGTTTCTGTTGACTTTAGTGAGGACAAGTTTAGATCTTCCTAATCTTTTTTTTTAATGACAAATGCGTGGAAAACGTGCTTTGCAGTAATTCAGTAATTTTTCCAATTTAAAATTTACTTTGATGCTGATTTGCATGAATATAATTGGGTAAGTACAGCAACCTATCCAATTTTCCTTCCTGCCTTCTGTTTATCAGTATTATGTAATCCTTGTCCATCTTTATAATGAGAAAAACATCATTATGGCAAAGATGATGAGTTAGTTAACTGGCAGTAAATTGTGATTTTCTGCATTGCACTGCCATGCAAATGCTTGTGTCAGTGCAAAGAACGGCTTGAAATGGGTGGTTGAGAGGGGAGGGTCACAGCCTAAAGAGTTCACGGTTCCAGCTTGTGTTGTTGCATGGATTGTGGAAATGCAGGTGATGGTTTAGGGGAAAAACAAGACAAAGCCACCAGCCTGCTTGTCAAGTATCTACCAATAATAATTTTTGAAATATGAATGGATACTTCTTTCAGAAAAATATGAAATGGGAACGAAGTAGTAATTCATGATTCACAGTAGTCTTACATAAGCACAGCTGATTTGACAGTGTTGATGTATGCTGCTAATATTTTTGGTTTTATCCTAGTTACCTGTGAGTTACTGAGTGTAAAACATACATCTAACAATAACACTCTTGGTGTCCAACATACAAATTACTATATTGTTCTTTGCTGAACACATCTTGGTGAATTTTTTAACTTCTTTGATTTTTAACTGTAGTGTATTGTAATAATGAATATTTTACTTTAAGACAGTGATAGTTCAGTTCTTTTTTGTATAATGAAGTGGGGCCCAAATCCCACTAAAGCAACTTTTTGAAAGTGTGCAGGATTGACTTTTTTGGAGCAAACTGTGGAATGAAGACCATATTTGTATATTTTAATGGAAAACTTTGCTGAGTGACATTGCTCTGCTTTGAAATGCATAGCTTTTTATAATCATGCTCCTGAATAATTTACAGACCCCAAAATAACAGCAACAAAATAGCAAAAAGGTATTCCACCAAGAATCTAGTTTAGACTGTAAAAAAAAAAAGAATGTTTTAAACAGTTTTCTTATTATTCACTAGATGGCAGCTGATCTTCAAAAATGGTTATATTTCTCCTTTCAGATCTGATAATTTGAAGGGAGTAATCATCAGGCTTTGGAGAAATCAAATATTGTCCAGCATTGTCTTCATTTCTAATATGAAACTGAAAAACCTGCGCAGTGAATGTTCAGATAATTCTCTGCTTCATTACTGTTTCATGTTGGGTTTGTTGCTGTTTATTTCTGGGGAAGAATGTTCCTTTATTCTTTGCTTTCATATTTAGTGGACCAGATTAACTACTTTTTAAGGAGAACATACAATAATAATATTCTAAAAATAAAGAATAATATTTCTGTTTTATATATACATATTGTTTTTTGTAGAATAAAATAATGTGCAAAATTCCCAATTATTGCAATATACAAAATCAAAACAACAGTGTCTTGTTACAATAATTCCCTGTATACAAAATGAAGAAGATATTAAGCTGATTATATTTAGATAAGTTTGACTATAGTATCAGAACTGAAATTTCTATTTTAAACTGACAAATTATCAGTCTTTAGCATAGTCTTTTTAATGGTAAATGGATTTGAAAATGTGCTGTGATTGTGAATCAGATAAAGATTGTTTAAAGTGAGTAGATGCCATGTATATACTTTAAGGCAGAATCTTAGTATTTGTGGAAGTTGTGTGACTAAGTCTAAATGCTGGATTATATGTATGCTAAATATTATACATTTCAGACACCAGGCTCTGTTACAACAGAACTTCATAAATAAATTGTAAAGACGTGCTTAGAAAAGGAGTGGAAAGAACTTTTGTATGTCTGCATGTCTTTATGGGAGGGCCACCCTCAATGTGTTTACTTAATTTTCTAGTGAATATCCAGTCTTGTATCTTTGTACGGAAAAAGTTCCCATTGTAGTTAGCAGGAAATTTGGATGTGTGAGGCATGTGAGGTTAGGCTCTGCATTTGTTGAAGAAGAGTGCGGAAAATCTCTGTCTGCTGCCAGAAAGCTATTGTGAAGTTACTGCACCTTTGGTAACATTCTTGCTGCGACTCTGCAGGAAGTTACTGCTGTCACTGAAGAAGCACCAGAAAAAGCAAAGTGTGCCTGCACCTGAAGTCTTCCAATGAAAGTCATTTGTGTTTGCGTAGGTTGTCAAGGAAATGATTTTATGCTAAGACACTACATTTACTTGGGAGTGACTTGAGGCCCCACTGCGCATTGCACACTCCTGACAGTTCTTTAGGGTGGTAGCCTTTCCAAGAGGGGAGAAATAAACAGCATCAGGTAATTTAACAAGACACATTTGTCAATTTGTCAGTGTTTGTCTTTAGCACCTTTTCATTACTGCTTACAGGTGCTTGGTTATCTGTTTCAACATAATATATAATCCAGTGGGTCACTAGATCTTATTTTGGATATGGAATAGTAAGATCCTTTTGTGGTATCCAGTATAGGAATGAGAGGAGACTCTGGAAAATTACAGAAGGACCATGCAAGACTGAGGCACTTAGCAAAAAAATGGCAGATGAAATTCATTATACATAAATGTGGACTGATGCACAAAGAGAAGAGCAATCAGAGAGGGAAGGGTCCCTTTTATAGCATCAAGATAAATGATTCCCTGAAAATGGCAGCTCGGTGCCTGATGTGCAAAAAACAAATAAAATGTTAGCATTAACTAAAAAAGGAGCAGAGAACAGAACAAAAACCATCTCAGTCCCACCGTGTATATTTGGGGCTCACCTGTACATTAGATATTTTGTACAGAAATCTGTAGTAGAACTGGGAGAGGTTCAGAGATAGCAGCAAGAATAATCAAAGGTCTGAAACTGCTTCAGAGCAAGAAATGACTAAAAGTAGACTGTGTCTCCTCAACACAAAAAGAAAACTTTGAGGTGGCTATGGAAGGGATTTATGAAGTGGTAATTTGGATGAGAAAGGCCTGTTCTAAGGGTCTATTTCATATGCCAGAACTAGTGATGCTAGTCAGACCTCCCTTCAAAACAAAGAGATAATCCATCACGTGATGAGTACTGCATCTAGAACTTCACTGAAGGATGCTGTGGATGTGGCAGTGTATATGTGTGTGGGAAGACTGGTCAGGTACTTAGAAAAGGATGTTGGTCATGAGAGTGCTCAGGATTGAGGATGTCTGTATGAGAAGAGAGCGCAGAAGGGATTGCTGAAGAGCCACATTCCCATTGGTGTCAGGAACTTCTGCAAACTGAAATCGTTGGAAACCAGGACTGCCTGAGAAAGGAAGTGTCCCACACACTTATTCTCTCTGTGACCACCGTTCTCAGTTTTGTCATTTTAAAAGCACATTCTTAAAACATCACTGCTCATTTTTTGAATGATACAGAGTTTTATAAAAATGATTGGTTTCAGGCATACAAAATGTTAGGTACCTGCTTTGTGTTCACATTTTCCCTCTTAGAAAATCCAGCATAGCAGTTATACGGTTAGCGTAGAGTTTACATAGAATGGTCTTGCAGCTTTCTAGGAATTTTCCCAAATGCATTCAAGGAATTCCCACTGTGGTTTCTAGGAATTTCCCTTGCCCTTTTAGAGAATTTTAAAGAATTCTCCTTAGGCTTGGTAGGAATTTTCCTATCAAGTTTTCCTTCCTTGCTTTTTAGGGATTTCTGCCAGTGCTTTCTAGGAATGTTCTATTTTCTCTTCTGCTTTCTAGGGATTTTTTGAGTGTATCCTAGGAATTTGTCTGGTGACCTGGCATGTTCCCCATGCCTTCTAGGAATTTTCCAGGTGCATCCCCTCTGCTTTTTAGAAAGTCTTTTTAGAATAATAATTTCTAGGAATTCTCTCTGTGCTTTGTAGGAACATTCCTACGTTCCAGGAATCCATGCAGACTCACCTGAGGATTCTCCTCAATCCATCTAGGAACCCTTGCCATGCCTACTTTGAAGAGCTGGTTGAGCAGGAGCAAAACCTGAAGTACTTGGATATGAAGCCAGTTGTTCAGTACATCTCTTTTCCCACCCGACTTAGCTTGGAAAATGTTTCACTCTTCTTTTTAGACTTTGCTTCCTCCATGCCACAGCTCTGTGTTATTTTTTCTCTCCTTTCTCCTTGTTCAGATAGACAAATTTTCTTTTTTCCTTTTTCAGGTTTTCTGATAGGTCATATTGCTGTCTTCAGAAAAGCTCTAGCACTTCTTCACATGTTCACAGAGTATTCATGTCAGACTGATTTTAGAGCAGTATATATGTCACTTAGTCTTAACTTGAAAACTTCAGATAAGACTGTAATTTACAATTTTTATTAGTAGATCAGTAAAAGACATTAACTTATAAACAAATGTTTGTAATAGAGTGATAGCACAAAGACTAAGTACTGAATCAGAAGGCAATTAATTTAATTGAGATTTAGTTGCATGTGAAACACCTGTGTTAGCCTAGCTAGCATCACCTGCACTCAGGATACTTGCTTTGATGAATCCACTAGTCAGTAAACCTTTGGCTCCTGATAATTGTTTTTTATAATTGGGTTCCATGCTGTAAAGAAAAAAATGTTTTGTCCTGTTTGAAGTACTTTTATGAAAGTCCTTCTTCTTTGGGGACAGTAGAATTAGATAAATGCATTAGCAATGAATCCAGTTGTACTGGCATGAGAAACAATCTGCTTTTAGGAAGGGAAGCTCAGTGGTTAATGGTGTTAAAAAGACTTTGGTGGGTTTGGTTTTGTTTATTTCTGTTTCTTTTGGTTTTGTTCCTAAAACCTGTCATGGCTCAGAATGCACTGACAGGGCTTAATCACCCTGAGGAGGCTCACCTGGGGCTTCCATCTACACCTCTGCCCATGAGAGTGGCACTCTATTTAACATCAGGCCTGGATAGTTACTCAGTGATGGCTTCTCTTACACTGTGTGTATCTCTTTAGAACTAGTTGTGGTATAGTTATGGATCTTGTTGTATGGGACTGATTTTCTGGCTTACCTGCGGATGTGGAGTCTTAGCTGTTGTTACTGGGGATAAGTTGTTCAGGTTCTTTGGGCTTAGGTTTGTGAGCTGTGCTTTGCCAGGCTTGATACCAAATTTGGCTACTGATGAGGAAAGTATAATTGATCTGTTTAGTACCAGTGAGCTGTTGGATTGGCTTTAGCTACTCATAGACAGTACATGAGAGCCTCAATGTTTATGTTCCTCCCTCCCTGTTTTTTTTTTTTTTAAATTTTTATTTATTCCCTTTTCTAATGGCTCAGCTCTCTGAGTAAGGGAAAGCAAGTAGAACTGACTGAAGCATGTTGAATAGGTGAATAACAGTTCTGTTTTGTGGTGATGTGTGAGGTTTAATAGTATAACCAAAAAAAAAAAATCAAGTTTCTTACAGAAGAGTATTAAATTCAGAATTCCATCTCAGAAAAGATAACTCTTCCAGAGGAGGGCCACAAATATGGCCAGAGGGCTGGAGCACCTCTCCTATAAAGACAAGCAGAGAGAGCTGGGCTTGTTTAGCCTGGAGAAGAGAAGGCTCCAGGGAGACCTTAGAGCAGCCCTCAAGTATGTAGAGGGGTTGATAGAGTCTCCTTCCAACACAGCAAAGGGACTTTTTACAAGGGCATGTGGTAACAGGGTAAGGGGGAATGGCTTTAACCTGCAAGAGGCTAGATTTAGATTAGATGTTAGGAAAAAATTCTTTACTGCAAGGGTGGTGAGGCACTGGCACAGGTTGCCCAGAGAAGCTGTGGCTGCCTCATCCCTGGCAGTGTTCAAGGCCAAATTGGACAGGGCTTGGAGCAACCTGGTGTAGTGGAAGGTGTCCCTGCCTGTGGGAGGGGGTTGGAGCTGGATGAGCTTTAAGGTCCCTTCCAACCCAAACCATTCTGTGAATATGTTTGAACTGTATTAGTAACAGTGAGCTCTTACAATATTTTGACTGCATATTTGGTGAAAGATAGCCTTTTCAATACTACTTATGTATTATTTTTGTAGTATTTGTCAGAGAAACAACTTTGGACAGAAAAGGGGTGGTAGTTTCTGCTTGAAAGTAATTGACTTAATTATCTTAGAGAATGGGATGCAGAATATTTTATTCAATTTTTTTTAAATAATGAAGCACACATTCTAAACAATGCTTGTTATTAAAGGTTATTACTATTTTTGGAGATGCACTGAAACTTGTGTGCTTGTCCTAACGTACAGTGTCCTTACAAAGCTTTTTAATATTGTCATAGCAGTTCTTTAGTATTTTGTTTATGCTTTTATACAAAAATTTAGGAGAAGTACAAGAAACAAAGCATTAATGTAAAAATTATTTTCTTGGGAGTGTTACTGTGTGAGGGGCATAATCCCTGAATAGAACTATTCTTTACAAATTCTTTATTTGAAATACTTTATTATACTTTTGGCCTGTACAAGTTCTGGTACTGGGGCAAGTTGTGTGCTTGTGTGTAGCAGTGTTTTTTAGCTTTTGAATGTGACTGCACGTGAAGTTCTACAAAATTGTTTCTGCAACGCTTTTTAGTTATCTGTTGCCAAGTAGTTAATTTCTAATAAATTTCAGCAAGATCAGAACATCAATTTAATAATGTTAAAGTGATGATTACATATCCCAACAACATAGGTCAGTTTCATTTATAGTTTCTAGTGTCTGAAGTGCTTCTAGGAATATATTTCATTGTCTGAAATTCTGAAATAGAATGGTGCTATATTCCATTACTCAGTAAATATCTAAAGTGTCTGTTTTTCACTTCTGCAGGTTGTCAGGGTCTCCTTCTGTGAAAACTAACTTGGTGCAATAATACCTCATAGAGAAGAAGTTTTTAGGTAAGCTCTTTCTCATGAGTGATTTCCATAAAGAGATCAAATACTTTATCTCCTTTTTCAATTACTTGATGGTTAAACAGTTAAACTTATTGCTGATATATATTTGCATTAAAAATGGTTAAGATGATTTTTTTATAAAACAATATGCTGGCTGGAAATGCTAATGTGGATTGTTTAATGATCACTGTATCACAGAAATGTACTGCTGGAAAAAATATTTATTCTCTCATTGCCTGGAAATTTAGTTAAAATTATTTCCTTCATTCTTGTCTTGCTGATTCATACAGGAGCATATTAAAACACTGGTTAGGATGGTCCTAAACTGAGTAGGATTAAGCAGAACTTTCTTCATATGCTTTCCACTTCGGTTGTAAAAGGAGGGTAAGGTTTCTAGAAGTGGTAATAACTGTGATTTAGTTTCATACATGTTTATTTTTGTATTAAGTATTCTTGGTCACAAGCATGGCTGATTAAAGGTAGTAAAAATAATTCACAGCTTGCAGTAGCCTATTAAAGAAAATTGAAAATTTGACTTTACCAAGATGGCATTGCTGCCATATACTTGCATGGAAATGAGACCACAGTTGCTCACTGCAGGAAGAGAATTAAGCATATTGCTTAGAAATAAAGTAACTACCCCTCCAAAAATAAAACCAAAACCAAACCCAAAGAAAACAACAAAAAACCCAAATCCAACCTGGCAGGCCAATGTGGGAGGTATATGAGCATCTTTAACTTCCTTCAACAACTGAGGTCTTGGCATTGCCCATGAAATGCTGATCATGTTGGAAAATCTGACTTCAACTTAGTACTAATAATTTGATACAGATATGCCACATGCAGTGATAAATCTTGAATTCCCTTAAACTATTGTGTTCTGAAAAGAGTACAATGTATTTATTTTTTTTTCTGCTATACCAGTTGTCTTTCCGGCATCAAATACACTACAGTATTAATAGAAGTCATCTGTCTTCCTTAAGAGGAACAAATAACTTTCAAAGTAGAAAGCAACCAAGACAGCAAAGAAAGGTCAGAAATCTTGGAATAAGTAGTATAAAGAAGGAAAGACAGTATGAGGGGGAAAAAGGAGTTCTTTGAACAAAAACCTGCAAACTTGTCCTTAGTGATGCATTTACAGGAGCATGAATGATTCTACAGATATTATCAGTTTGGCATATATCAGAAAAACTGTTTATGCTTTATCCACATTTAAGCACATTTCTTGTGCTTTAGCTGGAGAAAAATTGTTGGAACTCTTTGGAGAGACAGTCAATCCAGCTGCTGGTAGGAGCAATTGTCTTTGAGTAGTATAATAGTTTTACTCTTTGCCTTTGGGAAGAGTCTTATGCCTTCAGCATTCCCCTTTGCTAAAACAAAGATCTCGGAACATAGTCATGCCTAAATATCAACATTTTTTCCCTTGTCATCATCCTTTAAAATTAGGTTAATTATCCTAGGTTTGTATGAGTTTTCACTTCTGTGTCTGTATTTTTTAAGCTGCTTTATTTCCATTTACTGCTGTTTCAAAATTTTTAATGCTCTGGAATGAGTTGAGTCACCTTTTCTACTTCCCACTCCAACCTTTGATTACTGAGCTTACTGATGTGAGCCAGTTACAACTTAGAGAGGACTTGGGAATGATTCCAGCATTGTCAGAAGGGTTCCATAGCTCAGAAATTAGTACAATGCAAAATATTTCAAAGAATTAGATACTCTTTTGAAACACACTGATTTAACTGCCAGCACTTGAATGTCATCCAAGTTCTGTAATGACAGTAATGAAAGAAGACTATAGGAAGAATTTTCAATGGCTGACTTTGCTTGTTTGCTTGGCTTTTTCTAGGCCTGGCTATGGAAGTTGGGAGATCTATTGTTTTTGGTGGTTTTTTTTTTGTTTTGTTTTTTTTTAAACAAGATGAGGTACAAGATTCACAGAAAAATAAGTCATATTTCCAGATTTCTGGGTGTTAGTTGAGTAGATTGGGCCTGAATGGGAAGTAAATTATTGCTTGTGATGCTCCATCTTCAATGTCTTTGCTTCATTTGTGGTTTTAGTACTTGCATCCAGCTCTGTAGGTGAAGATATTTTTACATTTCCTTGAGGAGAAGTATTTGCTTTTTTGCTTTCAAGTTAGATGCCAAATAGCAAGAGTTTTCATCTTTGCCATTTGCTTTTCTTACTGAAGTTGTTGGAATCTCTGCTGGCTGTGTTTCCTTAGTGTTTCACGTGGGCGTTATTGCTGCTCCATCACAATATACTTGCTGTAAATGTTTTAAAGCTTGAATAATGGCAGATAATAAATAAAATAATAAATCTGACTTAATTCAACTACTGTGAGCTTATGTGAAGTGGTTCATCATGGTAATGATTCCCAGGTATTCACTGAGATTCACAGATTCATTATTGTCCAAATACCAGAAATGGCTTCAAGTGTAAGATACCAAACTAAATAACCCAAACATCAGGATATTCTGCCTGAGTTGATCCAAAACAAGACATAACTTGAAAAATCCAGCATCAGATCTTGATGTCTAAAGTTAGGATTTGAATACTCCTGTGAAGTCACAACATCGTTGTCTAATAGGATTCCTCCTTTTCAAAAATAAATCAACATTCTCAATAGTTATAAAATTTGTATGGTTTTGGTTGTTTGGGCTCCAAGGGGCTGAATCTCTGGCTGGGGTATGATCTACAAAACATGTTAAACTGAAAATTGAAAATCGTGGTTTATAAGTTTCCTACTGTTTAATGTACCACTCTGGGGATGTGATGCAGCACGTTCAAATAGTTATATAGTCTCTCTGGGTGAGACTTGAGAAAATACTGCTTTATGTGTTGTTCAAACAGAGTGCTGCAGAAAAATGCTGAACCAGGTGGAGCAGTGTCTGTATACTGCACTTCTAAAAGTTGATTTAAATTGTCAATATCTTAATGAAAATTGGTCATGTTTGGTTTCTCAGGCTGGGTGCTACATTTGTCTTTAATGTTATTCTGTTTTGATGAAAGCATCTATTGTTTGCTCTACCGATTCTTTCTATATAGTCTTCAGGGATTTGGCAACAGAATCTTTTGAAATATCATTACATCTAGCAAAAGTTGCTAGTTTACACAAGCTTGATTGCTTAGAAGCAGTCTGGTATCAGTATTGGTTTGAAAAAAGGATAGAACTGTAATTAAATGGCAAGCTGGCAGTACCTGGAGGAATAAAATTACCAATTTTCTTTGTTAGAATTTTCCTGTGAAAACTGAGAGGGCTGGGCAGATACTTGTGGATGACAGCACAGCTTAAACACAGTTGTAAATAAAAAGTCTAGGCGCACTGGTCTGTTTTTCAAAATACAGCAGTTAGCTAGACATCACTTGTGGCTAGAGCTGCGTATTGCTTAGATGCACTTTTTTAGTCACAACTAACAATTTTTCTTTCCTGAATGCAGGAGTCTGTCATTTATAAGTTGGTGTTCATGCCACCTACAATGAGTATATGAGGGACAGAACTTTTAGATATTCTGGAGGCCACACAAGGAATTCTTACTACTTAGTAATATCCTTTAAGAAACTTGGCCAGCCCTGTCTAAGCAATCATTTGATTTCATGAGCAGCCTACTCTTGACTTGATTTTAGGGTAGGGGCAGGTACTTAAGTGTCTTTTATTGTAACCTTAAACTGAAAGGTAGTGGATGGGCTCAGACAAATCTAGTCCAGTCTAACCTAGGTTCAGCCTAGGTTTCATTCCTTTCATAGTGAGTTAATGTCATTATATTACTGTTAATAAAATGGTTATCTTTTTCCTTTAAAATGGCATTCTCTTATTTGTGTTCATAGTGCTGTAGTTTTGTGAGCTTTAAGTATATAGTACAATGTACAGAATGCAGTAAACAAAACATCTTGTTTATTTCCATTATTATTTCCTTAAGCAATAAGGTGGTGATTCAAACTGTTCCTTTAAAACAGTATCTATAGCATAAAATAGACCTTTCAAACTTAAAATAGTGGTATTACATATAATTATTGTAACATCTTCTGTAATATTCTTAGTTATTATTGAATTCGTAGATATTGCATCAGTAGTAGATGTAACCAAATACTTAAGTGCATCATTTAGCAATGGCTAATACCCTTTAGAAGAGTACCAAGTCTGCCAGGTTCTTAGTACATGGGTATGTTGCTTAAAATCAGTTACCTGTTCTTTTAGCTAGTGCTGTGAATACTGAATTGAATTTCTTGCCTACCAAATACTTGGAAACAGATGTTTAGGTTTGTAAATCAACATTATCACTACATTTGCAATAACCTGAAATCTGCATGTGTGTTTTTTCTCTGGCCTTTTAGAGAGTAAATGTGAACTTGCAGAGAGACATTTCAAAGAAGTAAGGAGTTACTACCTGCATTAATGATTTAGAGACATTAATGACTTTAAAGGAACAACTATGCAGTTACCTTGAGTTTAAATCAGCTTTAAGGTGTTACTGAGGCCACCCTGTTCTTTTGTAAGTACTGCAGCAGTGTTGTATTTTGAGAAATTGCTGCCAGGATCTCTTTTTTTTCCTAACAAAGGAGCATTCCTTTTGTCTGGTTATCTTCCTGATGGAAGAATTACAAATGCATCCTATCCTCTCTGTAATGAGATTAACTTAGTGCTATGATGCAGAGATCATAATTAGACTTTGATCCTAAGTTAAATAGCTTTTTTTTTTTGGAAGTAACTAAGCAACATTCTACTGATAATAATAGTTTTGAGATCTTACCTTGTGCTTTAAAGGTGCTTTAGGGAGTTGCCTAACTATACCTGTACAGAAAATGGTTTGTTTCAGATACCTACCTTGTTCTGAAATTTCATCTTAATCGCAGAGTGGTTTGGGTTAGAAGGGACCTTAAGGATCATCTAGTTCCAATCCCCCTGTCGTGTGTAGAGATCCTTCCACTAGACCAGGTTGCTCAGAGCCCTGTCCAACCTGGCCTTGAACACAGTCAAGGATGAGGCAGCCAGAGCTTCTCTGGG